CCCAGCCAGGAATGCCAGTGGAGATGGATGGTGATGGATCCTCTGATGCCAGGCCTGGAAAATAACAATTTATGTGCTGACAAACCTCCTTTAGAAGTGAAATTTTGACTTTCAGACACCCCCAGCAGCAGCAGGTTCCTTCTTGTGGGCACTTGGGGGGTTCTGTTTTCTTTTCTTGGAGATCAGTACATAATTGATGGTATCTGCCACTGGAATATTCTCTCCTCCTTATACCCAGGGAGGAAATAATCATGTTTATAACCTATTTTTGAGTGGTACAGTTCTATTCTTATTTGAGATGATGGTTTCCCTCTTGCTTGTATTGATCAAGAAATTTAAGTGAATGTTGCCTTGGTTACCTTTGCAAAACTCAGTATTTTTATCCTTATTTGTCAGATTTGTGCTGTATAAAATCCCATTTTCTTTGTGATTCTGTATTTCTGACCATTAATAACCAATAACTTTGTCAGTTCTGATTAATTTTTTAAAAAATATTGTATTTTCTATGGGCTTTTTCTGGGGGCAAGCTTCCTCTAATTATTATATATAACATAATATTGGGAATTAACCAAAAACTTTTCCCAGGAACCCACCACTCAATTCCATCCCCCTGTGCTCATTCCTACCGAGCTGGGGTGTCAATTAAAGCCTTAAAATTAATGTAATTTGGGAAATACTTTTTGTGAGTCTTAAGGAGGTGAAATAAAATATTCCTTATTTAACACGTAGAGTTAGGAAAGTTCTCATTGTCCCTCCCAGCCTCTCTCACCATCCTCTTTCCATCGAAATAAACCGGGAATGCAGAGCCAAGGAATCCTAGGAAGGAGCCTGCTGCCCTCTCATGGCTCCCTGAGCGAACAGCCGGGAGGAAAATGGGAATAAAAGTCTGGGAGGATCCTCCTTTTCCAGCAAAATTCCCTTTCCAGGCACAGGAGCAGAACCAGGACAGGCTGAGCAGAACGGGTTAACTCCATGTCCCGAGTTATTCCAGGGAATGCTGTTTGGGGGGATTTTATTTCCTGGTTTTTCAGTTCCTCCCCTTCCAAGAGGTTGTTTTGATGTGGTTTGGGCACTCCAGGAACTGCTCCTCCAGCTGAAAACGTCTTAATTCCTAAAAATCCCATTAATTCCTTGGGATAATTGGGTGATTTGGGATTTCTGTGCCCCATCCCTAGAAATGTCCAAGGTTGGGTTGGATCATGAGATAACAAATGTCAGTTCTCAGGAACTGCCTGAATTTGGGAGCTCCTGCTCTAAATTAAATTACAAAATAAGAAAACTCTGGAATTCCCCATGTCCTGGAAGGGAAAAAGATGCTCAGGAGCCATCCAAGGTAGTGATGAAGAGCAGGAATTCCAATTGTCCAGGAATCTGCTGAGCCAAAAGCTCAGCAGAAGGGATTTGGCATCCCCATTACAGCCACTTCCAGGCTGAAGGAGGGGGAAAAATGGGAAAAAAGGTAGGGTTAAAAATAAAAAGGGGAAGAAAGAGAAAAAAAGAGTTTAAAAAAAAAAAAAGAAAAAGATGCCTGTGTTAGGTTTTAGGAGCTGAGGAAGGAATTGGCCTGGATGGGAAGGGGAGAGGCTGGCACTCCTGCAGGGAAATGCAGCTCCCATCCCACCTGCACCGGGTGATTCCCACACCATCCAGCTCCTGGAAGGTGATTCCCCCTCCCACATCCCAGTCCCGACTGCTCCTCTCCTTGTGGCCCGGGTCAGGAATGCTGAAAGCTGAGCTTGAGTGGAGAGGAAAAGAGGGGATTGTCCAGCAAGGCACCCCCAGCTCCCATCTGCTCCCTCTCTTCCTCCTCTTACTCCCCCCAGAGCAGAATTCCCTCACTCCCAGCCCATGCTGACCTGGCCATAATGGTTGCTCTGACTCAAGAAGTGACTTTTTTTTCTCTGTCTAAATAAATCACTTGGATGCTTCTACTGAAGGGATCCTGACTGAATTGCAGGGTTTAAAATAACCATATATAACATTAACTGGGCCATACATCCTCAGCTCGCCTCCTGGAGGGGCACAGGACAAGGAGGGATGGCTTTAGATTAAAGGGGAGAGATTTAAGTTATAAATATTAGGAAGAAATCTTTCTCTGTGGGGGTGGGCAGGCCCTGGCACAGATTCCCAGAGCAGCTGGGGCTGCCCCTGCATCCCTGGAATGCCCAAGGCCAGGCTGGATCAACCTGGGACAGTGGAAGGTGTCCCTGCCCATGGAATGAGATGAATTTTAACCTCCCTTCCACCTCAATTCTGTAATTTTATTTGTGCAAGATCTAGCTGAGCTTTATAGTTGACTCTCAGAAGTTTCACACGGGATAAAAGTCACACCACGCAGCAGAAATGCTGAATAAAGGCAGCTTTTCCTTGGAGCCACAGAGCATCCTCAACACCTGCTGAATTATCAGCCACCCTAAAGTTTAGCAGCAGCTGAAAACATTTAATAAGACACATTGCAAAGCTCCAGGCAGGCAAATGCAATAATTCCTGATGTGGGCACGGCTCCTTGACAGCATCCAGAGCTGGTTAATTCACAATTAGAGAGGAAAAAAGAGCCAGTGCAGCTTTGCTGTTACCCAGAGGCAAAGAGACTCAGTCAATAAAAGCAATCCTGTCCCCCAGGAGCTATTCCACTAAAGAGTCACCAGCTCCTGCTGCTTAAAAATCTCTGCTGGTGGGAGAGCTGCTGGAATTAATGATCAGGGCTCTAAATCAAGCACGGGATCACAGACACAGCTAATGATTTCTGTTACTGGGGTATCAGAGAACTCCAAATAAATATTCCTCTGGCTGCCCTGGGGCAGCTTGGGGTGGGGGGTGAAAAGGAGGAGAGCCTGAAACCAGGATCAAATAAATCACAGAATGGTTTGGAGTTGGATGGAGCCCTAAACTCATCCAATTCCAGGGGCAGGGACATCTCCCACTGTCCCAGGCTGCTCCAGCCTGGCCTTGGGCACTGCCAGGATCCAGGGGCAGCCCCAGCTGCTCTGAGTGCCCTCTAAATTAAACCAAATTATATTATAAATTATAACTCCCCACTGCTGCCACTTCCCAGCGCTGGCAGGGAATTTTAGGGAGGCATTTGGGGGAATTTTAGGGTGAAAATTTGGTGCCAGCTCCATGCATTCACTCCCCCCCGTGCAGGGATGTGCGGATGCTCCTCAGCCCCATCCCCACAGCAGCCACCGAGCAGCTCCTTGTGCCTGGGGAGGGAATTTCTGCCCTCAAGCTGAAATAAAACACCCAGAGGAAGAATCCCGAGGTAGCTTTGTTGGCCACCTGTGGAGTGAACTCCTGTTTCTATCGGGGTTTTCAGCGTTGTGGTGACTTTGATCTGGCACTCGCATCAAAGCAGGTGAGGCCTCGTTGCACGGCGAATTTCTGCTGTCTGCAGGCAAACAAGAGACCTCCAGACTGATTTTTGACAGAGCCACGTGCTCCCCACAGGCATCCAAAAGCAGGATTTATTTTATTTCTCAAATCAGTGCTTAGTTGCAACAGAAACTCCCAGGCAAGGGGAGGCTCCCGTTCCCCAGAGCTGGAATTCTTGCTCCTCCTGCATCATTCTTTCTCCATCCCTCCACCAGGCCACTCTGAGCTCTCCAGAGCTGGAATTCTTGCTCCTGCTGCATTATTCTTCCTCCATCCCTCCACCAGGCCATTCTGAGCAGAGCTGTGCCGTGTGATGGATGCTGGCTGGGCCCAACACCGACAGATGAACGCTGAAACTGTGAAAATTTTTGCAGCCAAAGCAAAGCTGGCAAATGTTTGGCTCCACCGTAACGTTTACAGCGCTCCCTGGCACTTCCAGGCACGCAGAGCAAAGATCAGCCCTGATTTTATTGACCTGTGCCACCCCTCAAGTCTTAGAAACCCTCTTTTATTTTTATTTTATTCCCCATTCTGCCCTCACCACCCTTTGAAGCTGGGTGGAAAATCCCTCTGCTTTGGTTCCTTTGAAAGAGCACAGCTGCACGAAGTGCTGGCTGCTTTCATCTCCAAACTTGATTTTTCTGACATAAATAGTGAGGAGTCACCTCTTGTATCTCCTCATCCCCTCTCCAAAATGTGTTTTTGTCTCCACAAGCACCTCTTGTATCGCATGGCAGACGTGGAGCATGACTGAAAATCACACTGGGAAGGAAAGGGAGGCTTTTTTCTTTCTTTTTAAAGGAATAAAAAAGTCTCTCCTGGCTGCAGAGGTGAGAGGCAAAGGAGCAGAAGTGTTGACCACGTGCTCTGAGCAGGATTTTGCACTTTGGATCTGCCCCAAGGTCCTGCTTCTCAGTTTTCTGGGAGGGATGAGGAGGGAGCTCCCCCACTCCTGGGCAGTTCTGCAGCAGTGTGTCCTTGTGAGCACACAAAATACTCCTTAAAATGGGCAAAGGGGTGGTTCTGGCCCCAAACCACCCCTGATCATCCAGCTGGGGACACCTTGTGCCAGGGACAGCTCTGTGGAGAGGGGCCGGGCACGCCTGCCCGAGGAGCGGCTCTGCCCTTGGCTCAAAGGTCAAACGGGGTTTTCCTGATGTTTCTGTGCATTAAAAATGAATAATTAATTAATAACCTGTAGATTCTGGGCTTCTCTGCTGTCCTGGAGCTGTTGAATCATTTGGGTTGGAGAAGCCAGCGAGTCCAAGTGTCCCCCAGTGCCACACGCACCGGCTGTGACATCCCTCCAGGCACGGCACTCCGCTCCGTGCCCTCTGGATTTGGCCACAAGTTCTCCCATGGCCAGGAGCCCCCAGACCTGCAGGAGATCCCTAAGCACAGCAAGGAGAACAGGGAGCAGCAGCAGCAGCAGCAGCTCAGTGACCATTCCTCTCATTCCAAGGGATCCCAAATCCCACACAACTAAAACAACGGCAGCTAAAACCAAAACAGGCCGTGGTGTCCTCCAAACCATCTGGGGATCGAAGTGTGCACACACTCCAGAGCAAATGGAAATTTGCTGTCCAATTCCAGTCATTCTCCTCCACACCCCCTTTCCCAAGGCATCCTTAAAACAGAATAACATCCTTTGGGGCGTCTTCAATGGGTCTTGCCTGCTCTTTCTTCTTGGAATATCTGGAGTGGTCGTAGAGAAAGATGATGATGAGAGAAGCGATGTTGAGGAGAAGGACGAGCAGCATGATCCAGTAGGAATATCCATAGCTGTGTCTGGATCCAATGTGTCCCTGCAGGGAGGTGGAACATCCCTGGGCCAGCTCTTCAGACAGGCTGTTCCCTTGCACGTTCACAGGGAAAAGGATCATGGCTATGAGGACGAGGGCTCCTGGAAAATGTAAATGTAAATTTTAGAGGAGGAACCGTAGTGCTATTTAGAGTTTTTGACTTATAGTCTGCTTTTATCCTCACCCTAGTGCAGGTATTTTAATCAATTTATCAAGTATTAATTAGTAAACTATGGGGAATTTCAATAATTTTTGTCCCACCCAATAGTATCTGACAGGATACTATTTTTTTTTTATATAAGCAATGATATAATTTAAAATTACTAGATTTTCACTGGTAATTCTTAGATAAAACCATTTAATTCAACTTTTTTTTTTATTTATTTCATTTAGTGCTGATGGGTATCGTGTATTCACCCCTTTGGTGATTTGTAAATGTCTGTTTGATATGAGCCCAAATTCATGGACAGGCAGTCTCACAGATGGATAGAATAAAAACAGCTGGATAGATATCACAGCTGGATAAAATACCACAAATATTAATAATAATTAATCTTATAATAAATAATTAATGCAATTAATAAAACACATAAATACAAAATACAATAAATAAATACAAAATAATAACTAGAATACACAAAATAGCAAAAACAGCTGGATAGATGTCACAGCTGGATAAAATACTGGAAATATTAATAATTTATATTGTAATAAATACTTAATGTAATTAATAAAACACATAAATACAAAATACAATAAATAAATATGAAATAATAAGTAGAATACACAGAATAGCAAAACCAGCTGGATAGATATCACAGCTGGATAAATACTGCAAATATTAATAATAATATTATAATAAATAATTAATGTAATTAATAAAACACATAAATACAAAATACAATAAATAAATATGAAATAATAAGTAGAATACACAGAACACAAAAACCAGCTGGATAGATATCACAGCTGGATAAAATACCACAACTGGATAAAGCCCTGAGCAGCCTGGTCTGTGCTCAGGGCTGGCCCAAGAGCTCAGACTTGGAAACCTCCTGTTCTTTGCAACTTGAATTATTGGATGAGTCTGGGCTAAGCCAAAATGTGATGTTTTATCAGATCTGGGTCTATTTCTTACAGCTTTCAAAATGCAAAAGTTCAGTTGCTTTGACATTTATCTAAAATATTCTAAATATCTCTGCTTTCCTCGTGCCAACAGAGCTGTAACCTCTGAGCTCTGGTGGAACAGCTCCATTCCTCCTCTCCAGGCACCCAGGATGAGCTGAAACAGCTTCATTTTTTATTCAAGAGGAGAATTAGGAATTAAGAACCTCCAAGATGACCTCCCACATTAAATGATGCGTGGTTTCCCATAAAAATACACCCACAGCAAAATAAACTTCCAGGTCACGGCACTTGCAGGGCTGCTAAAAGTAACCACAGCCCTCAGCCAACACAAGGATTTGTTTTCTCCCCAATATTTATTTTGGCCATGGTCCTTTCATTTCAGTCAGAGCTTGCAGGTTCAGGTGCTGAGCTCAGGAAAAACCTTCCCATGGCATGAGACAGTGATCTGCTTGTCTCAGAAATGAATAATTAATTGTCTAATTAAGTTTTGTTCACTTTTCTAACTGTGTTTCACAGCTGGTTCAGCATCTGTGTTAAAAAACGGGTGATTTTCACAGCTCCACCTGTAATTGTAGTAATTAAGATTATCTGCACTGTTCCCTTCCCACCAAGGGCTGGTTCTGTCCCCAGGACAGGGTGATGCTGCAGGGGAAACATTTTCCCTGGACCTCAAGAGCTTTTGAAGGCCAAAATACCTGTGCTGAAGTACTCTGTAATCAGATGTCTTAAAAGGAAATTATTCAAGTGCAAACCTATTATTAGAGGAACACCTAATCCTCTGGAGACTAACTGAGTGTGAGAGCAGGACAGGGAGGGTTGGGAGCAGCCAGACTCAATCCAAGCAGGAATGTTGGTTTCCACCTCCAGGAGCTCTTGGACAGGTTCACAGCTCCAATGACTCAGCATCTCCACCCTTTTATTTTATTTTTTTAATGCTTAGGGAATGTTTAAACTTATTTTCACCTGTGAATTTTATCCTTTAAAGAGGGAAATAACTTTTGCCAAGGCTCATTTCTCCAAACTGCTGCCTCCCTATAAATCCTATCATATAAATATTATTTTTATTGTTATAGAATGCCTTTAAATCCTATTTAAAAGATGGTTTTCTTTTTAAAAGATTAGGGTTTGGGTTTGGGTTAGGGTTAGGATTAGGATTAGGTTTAGAGTTAGCAGGCACAGCTAAATAGCAAAAATGTATTTCCAGGTGTTTCTTCCTGCAGCTCTATAATCCTCTATGCTGGAATTTAAGGAATAGGGTTAGGGTTAGGATTAAGGGTTAGGGTTTGGGTCAGCATTAGGGTTAGGGTTAGGGTTAGGATTAGGGTTAGGGTTTGGGTCAGGACTAGGGTTTGGGCCAGGATTAGGGTTAGGGTTGTGTCAGAATTAGCGTTAGGGTCAGGTTTAAGGTTAGGGTTAGGGTTATCAGGCACAGGTTAAAAACGAAAATGCATTTCAGGAAAAAACATGCAGGTGTTTCTTCCTGCGGCTCTATAATCCTCAATGTCAGGATTTAAGGAATAGGGTTAGGGTTAGGGTTAGGATTAAGGGTTAGGGTTTGGGTCAGGGTTTGGATTAGGGCGGCTCTATAATCCTCTATGCCAGGATTTATGGAATATAACCACTCACCACACACGGAATTCCAGGTGTAGACTCCCACCGGTCCCAGGAATGTCTGGTAGGGGTTGCTGACGCTGTTGGTGCAGGTGAAGCCGGCGCTGAGCAGGGAGCTGAGCAGAGCCAGCACCAGCACCGCGATGGTGGCGATGTTCAGGCTCCTCCTGCTGCTGCTGCTCAGGGCGTCCGCGACTGGAACACGGCGAGAGAGGGGTGTGAAAAGGTTTTCAGCCTGTCAGAGGCTGACCTCTTTCCCAAGGGAAAGTTTCTTGAGGAAGTCTCAAGGATAACTTGTGTAAATAACTTTAAATAACTTCTCAAAACAATTGTGCCCAGTTGTGCTGATTGTGTTTCTCCTGTTCCACCAATGGGACCAGAGACGTGCTGTTCCCTTTACCAATTGTGTTAAACCTGTATCGGAACACCTTATAAAAAAGTTAAAATAAAACCCTTCTGATGATCCTCCTGCCTGTTGAACTGAATCCACACATCTTTATTTTGTGTCCAAAGGTGACACCTCAGGATTTACCTAAATGCTTCCAGCTCCTCGTTATGTTGCTGGTAACAAGAGACCCAAGCCCAAATGTAACACCCTCCAAGTGTTATTTTGTTGAGGTGAATTATTTCTTTTTCTCCTCTCAATTTAAAGATTGAAAAGGTAACTGCTTTATGTTGTAACAAATACAGTGAAAATGTTCTGGAGCTCTGTTCCAATAGATGTTGTGAGAGACAGAATTCTGTAGGACTATTCCCTTTTTGTGCCGTTCTTGAACAGAGCCATTATTGCAAAATATTCAGGCAGCCCATAACTGGGAGAAATCACAGCAGAAAAAAATATAAAAAGAGAGTAAAAACCCCATAAAGAGGAATAAACATAATAAAAAGAGCTGTTGGCAAGGAATGAATAGGAGATTTCCTCTCACATTTTATCTAATGCTGCAGTACAAGTTAATTTCTGCTTGAGGCACTGGCAGGTAAGGATGTGTTATGGAAATCAGTTGTAAATTGAAGCAATTTTCCTGGAAGAAAAGGAAAGCAGGGCATCCAGGGGATATCACTCAAGGAAATGGAAGTGAGCAGGTTGTACCCTGCACTCGGGCTGAAGCAGCCTTGCAGCCTGGCCATCACCTGTGATCTATTTCTTGAAGGAGAAATAAGTCTGGAGCCAAATCAGACAGGATTGTGTAATTCCCCTCTGGCAGCCTCAGTTAATTTTATCTCTCAGAACATCTCCAGAACTGCCTGGCTACACCTCTTGCACGCCCTAATTGATCTTGTTTATCTCTGACACGGAGCTGCAGTTTAGGGGATGGCATTTTGGCAGCCTCCAGCTGTCGTGGCCATGTCTGCAAAAGCACAAGGCTGAGGGCTTGAAAGAAAATGCTCTTTTCATGGCAAACCACTTTTTTAATCCCTAAATAAAGCAGTCTGTGCAAACAGAAGGAATCTCCAGCAGCTGATCTTTTTGAGTGGGATCAAACTCAAATATTTTGAGTGGTAACCTGCAGCTGGATAACCTCTGGATCTGTGTAAGATAATTCTAGAATGAAAACAGGGTTTGGTCAGATTCCTCCTTAATTTCCTGTATCTTCTTTTGTTTTTCATCCTTTATTCTTGCATGTTTGGGTAGAATTTCCCAGACTTTCACTGAGCTTAGTCAGCCTTCCCAGCAGCTTTTACAGCTCTACAATCACCCATGACACGTCAGGAATTAATCACTGAAAGAAGCCCAGACAAACCAGAAATCCCGAGGAGAGCTCAGCAGAGCTTCCTACTTTTCAGGAGATCCCTGGAAACCGATGGGAACACGAATGAATTCCAGCAATTTCCAAGCTTTTGTCATGTATTTTAGAAAGTTAGAAAGTGAAATGATTCCTCTATGTTGTGGTAAATTTGGAAAGACTTCCCTGGGTGTTGTTGGCCTTGCTGGCTGCGGGCAGTTGGGTAAATCCTGATATTCCAGACTCTCCGGGCACGGCTCCTCCTGAGCCTGGCTCAACCTCTAGCTGCTTGATTTGGAGCAGTCCAAGCTGTGACCAAGCCTTCTCTGACAGACACTTCACCCACAGCTGGCTCCTCTCTAAGATAAATCATTCCAGCAGCTCGGGAAGGCTCGGAGGAGCCTGGTGATGAAATAACCTGTGCGTTCTGCGGAGCCTGAGGAGCGGCTGCAGTGATTTATTGCTCTGGGAAAGAGCCACCCTGGCTGGGCACTCCAGGCACTGCCACAAGTGACATTCCTTTGGCTTTCAGCTCTATGCTTGGGAATTTCTTTGCATGTTGTGGTTTCTAGAGGAATCAGTTGGGTTTTTTGGTAAAGGCTGTGGATGATCTGCTTTTGAACGGCCACTGGTAAAAGTCAACCTGAGCTATTGCTGAAAATAACCCCCAAGTTCTTGACTGTGATTTACCCTTCAGGGATTGTCCTTCTTTTCCCACACCCAAATATGACAATGCCAGTTGAGAAATGCACGTGGGGTGCACAGCAGAGCCCCCAGGCAGGGCACAGCTGCTTTTAAACCATGCTGTGATTTGAAGGGATGTTTACAACTCCTCTTGCTGATGTTTGAAATGCGGGAATGGAGAAAGCTCAGCACTTTGTTCCTCCATAGCACTGGAAATCTATTAATTTAAGGATATCAACAAAGGAAATGCATCTCCTGTCTTAGGAGGACAGGAATACAAATTAAGGTGAATATAAAGAGAGAACATATGGAATTCTAGGAAGCATTTTCCCTCTTTCAATTTTATATGGAATAGAATGATAGAACAGACTGGTTTGGGTGGGAAGGGATTTCAAATCCCACCCAGTGCCACCCCAGCCATGGCAGGGACACCTTCCCCTGTCCCAGCTGCTCCAGCCCCAATGTCCAGCCTGGCCTTGGGCACTGCCAGGGATCCAGGGGCAGCCCCAGCTGCTCTGGGCACCTGTGCCAGGGCCTGCCCACCCTGCCAGGGAAGGATTTCTTTAGCAAATTCTTTAGCAAATAATATAAAACATGATAATTATGCTTGTTATAGAGCCTAAGAATGAACATAAAGTAAGTTTTTTTATTCTGGATTCCTGCCTGACACAACCAGTGAGGGATGTGGGCAACCCCAAATTTAGATTATTGATAAAGCATCACTTTCCTTCAGCAGCTGTGGAAGGAAACTCACAAATCCAGTAGCTCACTCATTTTGTTCATCCCTAAATAACCGGTGGGGACAACTGAGATCACCTTCTGTAAATGTTCTCCAAGCATTTGATAAATGATGAGCACAAACCCCCAAATCTGGCTGAGGGAAAACCCAACACCACCGATGCAGGCCACGCAGAGAACCAAAATCCTTCACTGATAGCAGCAGTTGTGATCTCATTTCATTAATTCAAATTCAAATCGATCTGCTGGCAACACCCAGGCCCTGGGGCTGGGCTGTGGGAGCTGCTTTAGACAAAGGCAGGACACAATTCCTGGAGTGCAGCCAGCCTGGATCCTGCATCAGCTCTCCAGGCCAGGATTCCACCTTTCCCACGGAGCCCAACTCAAATCAGCCAGAGCTGCCCACGTGGCTCAAGGTTTGGGGCTTCAGCCAACTATAACCACAAATTATTGTATTTATTTATTAGCATTTACTTTGCTAAAAATCACTTTCATTATTCTGCTGTGACTGTAATTAATTAAGACGGAGTGATTTGGGATTTTGTGCTCGTTATGTAACGATACCAGTCCGTGCTCCACCTCTTGCTGGGAATGCTGCTGTGCTCAGGCTTTCATGGGAACATAAATGGAATGGAATCCAGCTAAACGTGGGGACTGGTTTGTGTAACCCAGCTCTGCCACCGTGGGAATTCAGGTGTTTCTGCAGGTGCAATTCCAGGAATGAATTAGGCTGGGGAAGAACCTAATTGATTAGGCTGGAGGTTTAGATCTGCTGTGCTGGGACATCTCACAACAGCCTACCAAAAAATGGAATTATTTTTTAAAACATCTTAAAATCCCAGATTGATTTGTCTTAGAAAGGACCTTAAATCCCACCCATCCCACCCCTGCCATGGCAGGGACACCTTCCCCTGTCCCAGCTGCTCCAGCCCCAATGTCCAGCCTGGCCTTGGGCACTGCCAGGGATCCAGGGGCAGCCCCAGCTGCTCTGGGCACCTGTGCCAGTCCTTATATCTAATTTAAATCCATATCTCATCTTTCAAAAGTATTTTAAATATTCTATTATCTGCTAATTATATATCATATTATCTGCTCATATTTTTGGTAGCTATCATTTGAGTGGCTTTTCTCCCTTTCCAGTGTGTCACCAGCATTATTGCTCTGAATTTGATGAGGCAGCAAGGCAGATAAAATAAGTGCAAACCCTTGATCCTTGCAGCAGCTTTCAGGTTTATCTGCCCTTGGGTGTTGTTTTGTGTGTTTTGTTCCTTTTCCTGCAGCAGCTTTCGAACCTTTCTCTATCAAAATGGTGCTAATTCAGTAGTTGGTGGCAAAATGTTTAAAGTCAAAACAATAAATTAACATCATGAAGGTATAAAAAACCAAACCAAATGCTGGGAGGTGAATTGGGTTTGTAAATCCCTTAATTAAGTAGTGAGTGTTGGTTTTCTGTTCCTCACTGAACTTCTGGAAATCAAAGTCACTTTGGCAGAAAGCTCCAGTTTTGTGTTTTTTTCCCTTGTTTCAAGGTGCAGGCCAGGCTCACAGGGTAAGTTGTTATTGTTGAATTTCTTTAATTCAATTTAATTCTGTGCTTTTTTAAAGTATCCATCTTACAACCACTTAAATCCCCCACTTAAATTCTTGTTCTCATTAAAATACTCTAAAATGGATACGTCCGTCAGCGGCACGAGTGAGAAGATCCTAGGTTTGGGTTGGATATTGGGAAGGAATTCCTTCCTGTGAGGATGGTGATGCCTTGGATTCCTTGGGTTTCCAAAGGAGGTTGTGGCTGCTCCTGGATCCCTGGTCCAAGGCCAGTCCAATTCCTTCCCAATATCCAACCCAAACCTAAAATCTTCTTACTCGTCCCTCTGATGGACGTATCCATCTTACAGTATTTTAAGTGATTTGGAAATATGAGATATGGATTTAAATGAGATATCAGGACTGTCACAGGGTGCCCAGAGCAGCTGGGGCTGCCCCTGGATCCCTGGAAGTGTCCAAGGCCAGGTTGGACATTGGAGCACCTGGGACAGGGGAAGGTGTCCCTGCCCATGGCAGCGGAGGCACCGGATGGATTTAAGCTCCCTCCAAACCCAAACCAGTCTGGGATGCTCTGATCCACTTCCAGATGTGCCAGCACTTACCTTGGAAGGTCATTTTGGACACCTGGAGTCCTGCATCCACGAACTGCTCGCAGGTGCCCCTGAAGAGGCCGTACTGGAGGCTGACGGTGACGTTGGAGCTGGTGCGCGAGAAGCGAACCTCGCTGCTCACCCACTGCGGGGTGGCCAGCACCACGCAGATCACCACGAAGGAGCTGACACAGGCACAAAAAGCAGAGGCAAACATGGATGTTTTCTTCCTGGAGGGCATCTTTGCACGGATTCTTCCCCCAGTTCAGAGGATTTGGTTCCCTTTAATCCCGTTTACCGTGAGGGTGATTCCTCCTCGGCGCTGCCCAGGCACGAAGTTGTTCTGGTAAACTTTAAGCAATCAGCAGTGGCAATAAAAATGTAAAATAATTGAACTTTGCTCTGGGGAAAAGGTGTTGCCATGGTGACAACCAAAGCAGCCTGGCAAAGGCCGCTGGAATTGTCCATGGATGATTTATGGTCCTCGCCACTTCCCAGATCCCAGCTCTGGATTCATCCAAAGCCTGGAGCTGGCACATTCCCAGCTCCTCCTGGGACAGTTCTCAATTCCTTGCTTTTTCCTCTTAAAGTCCTGACAGCCAGGCTGGAATCTGCCAATCTATATCTAATCTCTCTCTGATACCTTATGATAAAGTTGTAAAATGTTCCTTCTCTGTTCAAATTCCCAGCTTGCCTGAGGAGCTCCCCAACCATCCCTTTGGGAAACCTCTTCAATTCTTCACATTTCAGAAAATATTGTGCTGGTTTTGGCTTTTGGTGGGGTCTGTCTGCTTTGGAGCAGGTTCTATCTGCTGTCAATAGGTTGCTTTCTAATTCCTAATTAATTCTAATTAATTCTAATTACTAATTAAATTCTTAATTCTAATTAAATTCCATATGTTTTTACAGAATAACTCCTTCCCTTTTGCTTTTTTGGCAGGGAGGAGACAAATACCTTGAGCAGGGCTTCATTTCAGGGAAGGATGGACATGTACAGGGAGAAATCCTGGAAAAAATCTATTCTGGACTATAAACCAAGGGAATATATTCATTTTTTGATCCCAGCTGACCTAAACATTGACCAAAGAACCCAATTTCTTCATTACTTAATGAAAAGACTGAAGCCAAATCCCAAGAATTTGAGGTAAACCCAAAGTTGGGAGCTCATTCCCTATTATTTTGGCCTGAAACATGGAACATAAATTAATAATTTATTGTCAGTATGGAATAACAGAGATTCCATTAGCTTTTATTTCTATTAATTATAATGTCATTATTCACTTTATACTGAAGCCCTGCTCCTGGATCATCCAGAGCTTTTGAATTAACCTTTAGGGAATAATCTGCTTTAATCAACCTCTGGACTTCTTGTCCTGAAGCTTCCCTGCTTTGTCCTGTGATGACAGGGAGAGATTCTGGATTTTTTTATGGATTTGAAATAGCCAAGAATTTCTCAGCAGGGGTAAATACCTGGCAAAATACTTATTTTGCAACACAGTGTTATTGTACTGAGGTTTTTCTGGTTTTATGATATTTTTTGATCCCAAACTTTTAGGCAGTGATTAGATTTGACATCCATGGATTTTATTTTTATAGTCTTGTGATTTTTATTTTGTTTTTTGAACTACTCGAGTCTTTGATGATATCTTTGAGGTCATTATTTATAGGAATATATAAATATAAGTTTTTTTAAAGTATTTAAGTTTTATTCCTAAGTAATCAAAATACTTCATTAACGTAGTGGAAATCAGTCAGGATTTGAATTAAGCTTCAAGGAATAAAGGGAAATTTCTTGCCTTGTATAAAATAATAAGAAACCTGCCTCATTTTCTGTCCACTACCCAGTTAAACTTTAACCACAGAAATGTGGGATGGCTCTGTTGGGCTGATCCACCTCTCCAGGTTCATTAATCCAACACTTCTATTCTCCAAAGGACATAGTCCAAGATTTTATAATCCAAGGATATTTCCTAATAAACAGAGCTAAAACTTGCCCTCCTGCCATCAGCAGTGCCACTTGTCCCCTCTGAAATACGGTTTAAAAATTCAGCATTGAAGAACTGATGTTTGTCTTGGTTAAAACTTCCCAGGAATTATTTTTCAGCTCCTTCAATTTTAATGAATTGAGCACCTCACCCTTTAAAAATACTGAATAGCAGAGACTCAGAGAATGGTGAACAGCCTGGGGTTCCCTTCCTTGCAATCTGACTCAATTGGATTTAGTTTTTGGTGACTCAGCTCAAATTGTTATGGCTCAAGTCATTGAAACTCTCCTGTGGCTCAGGGGGTTGCTCTGTAAATGAGATCATCATTTGCTTTTTTTCTTGCTTGAGGTTCATTCTCTGCCTGGGCTATGATTCCTTGTCTTTATTTCTATTTTTTTTCTCACAGCTACCTGTAAAATCATCATAAACCTGGAATTAAAGCTGCAGTTTGACAGGACACACATCATCTTGAGAGAGAAAGGAGAAGAGATTGGTTTCCTCTGACTCAGAGGAAATATTTCTTAATCACCATTTTCTCAGCTCTGCCCTCACTGACCCTGACTCAGCCCTGCACAGAAACCACAGAGAAAAATCAGATTAATTTGTTATGAACCAGGGGGGCAGCAGTGAGATCTGCAATCCTTTGCTACATGAAATTACCCATCACTTTTAAAACTTGATGATGTGATTTCCCTGTTTAAATCAGTTTGCTTTAAGCCAAAAATACAAAAGCAAGGCCTTTAAATGCAAACTTTCCACGCACATCTATTCTTTAATATTGCAAACACCTTCTTACATGGGGGGAAAAAAAAATAATCCTATGTTGGCTTGATGCTTTTCCCACAGTTCCAGAAGGATGAGAGATCTGGGAGGAATTCTTCCCTGTGAGTGTGCCCAGAGCAGCTCTGGCTGCCCCTGGAAGTGTCCAAGACCAAGCTGGAGCAGCCTGGGATGGTGGAAGGTGTCCCTGCCCCTGGTAGTGTGGAATGGGATGGATTTAAGGTCCTTTCCAAGCCAAACCATTCTGGGATGTTCTCCCGAGGGATGCCAGCAGGGCAGGATCCAAGGTTTGGCTCCCAGGTCGAAGCTCTCAGCTGTGCTCAGCAGCAGCCGGGGAAATTCAAGGTGAAGCCTCTGCAAATTCTTCTCAGTTCTGCTGCAGCTGCAGCTCTTCCCTGCTGGGGGTTAAAAATTCTGTGTTCTGTGGAAATATCCCGTGTGAAACCAACTGGATTCCACGCAGGATCAAACCAAGTGTTGCCAATGTTGCCTCTCCCTCTTTTGGGACGGATGAATTAAAATTAAAACAAATTATTAAGAATGAAATCCAGGTTTCTTCCTCTGGCATTTTGCAGCCAGAATTCAGATGGAAACGGGGATTTGGTTGTGTCTTTGGACTGGAAAAGGGAAATGGGATAAAGCCTCATAATTTGATTGGAGCTGAGGTTGAGAAACGTGAAGCTGTACAGATCTGCAAAACAATTGCAACAATTCCTCGGAAAACTTTGGGACTCTTTGGAAGAGAAGGGTGTGAACACTGTTTTTATGGATCCCTGCCCGGTGCTGCTGTGGGGTGGATTTGCACAATTCCATCTTCTGATTTCTTCTTTCCCTCTGACCTTTTTGGGATTTTTTCCCACGGTGCTTTGGAAAGACAAAGCAAACAAGTTTGAGATGTTTGCTTGGATTTGTTGCCAGAAAACGCCCAGAACTTCTCAGCTGAGAGCTCCATCACGGGAGGGTTGTGGATGTCTGAGCTCCGAGGTTGGAGCGGGATCACAGCTGGAATGTTGTCCCTCAGACAGGTGGAATATTGTCACCAGCCCCTCAGCTCAATCCTCTCACCCCAGCTGCCAGCAGGATCTGGGAAAAAAAAAAAAGGAGAAAAAAAATAGGAGTATTTCCAACTGGGAATGAAAATAAATGGAAGATCCCAAAGCCACCACACTGGAACCAGCACAACTGTGCAAAATCCGGGTTTAAAATGATTGCTGCTGCCTGGGGGTCCCTTGGATGTGAGTTGTGTCCACTCTGGATTCTTTGGAAAAAGGCCAGAAGTGCCAGGAAAAGAGGGAATGGCTTCAAACTTCCAGGTTAGGGAGGATACTGGGAAGTGGGAACACCCCGTGCTCACATGGCAGCTGCAGGGACAGCCCTGAAATTGCCTTTTCTCAAAGACATTTGGGTTAAGAAATGATCCAGCATTAAGTTTCGATGGGAAATAAATCCTTCCACGGGAAAGTTTATCCTCTACAACTTCTCCCAGGGCACCCATTCTGGCAGGGGAAGGAGAGCAGCAGCTCCCTGAGCACCTGACTCCTTGTTTGTCCTGTTTCTTCCCATTTCCAGGCTGGAAAAATCCTTGGTGGGAATGTTTGCAGGCCATTATTTATACAATAAAGAGTTTTAAAATGAAATAGTAAAATTATAGAGATGTTTTCCATTTTCACTCCACAAGTCAGTGTCTACATTTCCCTAAACAACAGAGCTCCACTAAAGCCTTTAAGATCTCTCAGGGTGTCTTTTCTCCATACCCTAAAATATGACACAGCTTTAAAATGAAGTGTTTTGCTGTTAAAACATTTTCATTTATGACTGAATAGAGAAATTCAGTGGTCAAGTGCAGCTTATTGACAAGTGAGGGGCAGAAATACACTCCTGGTATTTTAAGAAATGGAAAATACAGCTTTTGCAATATTTTCATTTTAATAAGATGTGGCTTTGAAGCTGCTTCAAGGTGTGGAGTGTTTAAAACAACCCCTTGAGGCAGAGATGGAGAGAAGAGCAGGTTTCCACTTATTGCAGTTTCTGTAACAATTCCAAAGAGATGGAGGTTTGAACACTTCAATCCATTCCCACAGACTCCTAATTTTAGATTGCAAATGGAAAAACCTTCGACAAATACCCCTTTGAAGTCATTAAATTAACTATTGCTGGAATATTACACAGACTTTTTTTCCCAATTATTCCTACTTTGAAGAGTTTCCCTTGTATTTTCAGGCTGAGATGTATTTGCAGCATCACAAACCACGTGTCTCTGTCAGTTTTTTGCTGTTCTGCCTCTGACTTTCTGATTTTTTTTTTTTCCAGTAATTTACGATTTTTGTTCCAGCACATCAGCAAAAAGACTGATCCACCCTCCTCTACCAAGGGCATCATGTTGGAACACCCAAATAAAATGTTCAAATATTGCCTCTTTCCTGTAGTTTATTTTCTTGAGCTTGCCCAATCATTCCTACTTTGAAAATCTTTTCCT